CTCTCTCTCTCTCTATTATTCTCATTCTTTTTGAGAATAAATGACTGACACCATGGCCCCTAAACCATAAATCCTTCAGTTTATATCTTCAAAGAACAAGGATATTCTTTTATGTAATCACAGTGCCATTATCGAATTCAGAATATTTAACACTGATACAATGTTATTATCCAACATCCAGTCTATTTTCAAATTTTGTTAATTGTCCCAATATTATTTTTATAAGATTGTTTGTTTTTCCAATCCAGGCTCACACACGGCATTTGGTAGTCATATCTCCTTAGATGTCTTTCATCTGAGACAATTCATTGATCTTTCGTTGTCTTTCATGACAGTGATTTTTTTTTTTTAAGAATACAGGCTTTGGCCGGGCTCGGTGGCTCAGCCTGTAAGTCCAGCACTTTGAAAGACCGAGGCGAGTGGATTGCCTGAGCCCGCAGGTTCGAGACCAGCCCTGGCAACTTGGCGAGACCTTGTCTCTACAATAAACAGAAAAAAAAATTAGCTGGCTTGGTAGCACGCGCCTATAGTTCTGGCTGCTTGAAAGGCTGAGGCGGAAGGATTGCTGGAACCCAGCAGGCCGATGCTGGGATGGCCACGAGCGTGCCACTACACTCCAGCCTGGGTGACAGAGTGAGACTCCAACTCAAAAAAAAAAATAGGCTTCATGTTTTGCAGAATGTCCCTTTATCATGGGACATTCTGCAAAGTGTTCCATTTTGCATATTCATTTATTAGGGACATATGAACATCTGCATGTTCCTCATGATTTGGTTCAAGTTGTACATTTTTGGCGGAAATATTCCATTAGTAAGCATGTATCTTTCTTCCTATCATGATTCATATCAAAGTTTTTTGAAAGTGAGTCCCAATAGCAAAGCATGGGGTTCCAGAACAGGATGATAATGCAATGGAGAATGAAAGGAAGGTTGGGGCCTGAAAGACAGAACAGTCACTGCCAGGACCACATGGTTCTGTGGCTCTTCCAGGCAGACACCCACTGCTGTGCAGTTTCTTTGAGCTCTACATGATCATTTCCTAAAAACCCAGCCTTCTCTTTCTAGAGCTTCGTATACAGTTTCCAAAACTCCTTTCTCACCCCTCTGCTTCAGCTGGCTCTGCTGCAGACTGGACGCTTCTTGATGATGTGAGCGCCTGCAGCCAGCGGAGCTGTGGCCAGGCCACGTGGTATTCATGGCAACCGTCCCGTGACCACCCACATTCCAAATAAAGGGGCATTTGCGTCGGACCCACTGTGCACTGGGACTTTGTGCCCAGCTCTGCCCCAGAGCTGTGTCTTTTCCTTCTGTGTATGCAAGCGCTTTTTCCTCTAGGTATTCATTTGCATTTTTTCAATCAGGATCTTATTTTGCTGCTTTCTGCTGTGTCTCTAACTCCCTTTCTTCCCACTGTGTTTTCTCTCCTTGCAAGTGTTGAAACATTTTCTAATTGGGAACGCTTTGAATTTCAATCAAGTGCTT